TGGACGGTGGTGGTGGTGGCAGTGGATGGTGGCGGTGGTCGTGGACGACGATGGTGATGGACGGTACGGTGACGGTGATGGTGGACGGTGGTAGTGGTGGACGGTGGCGGTGGACGGTTGTGGTGGTGAAGAGAAGTAGAAAAAAAAGGAGAAGATGTTAGAAAATGTTAGAAGACATTGGTTAATGTCTTCTCCAAGAAGATGCCAGGAAGACCTTTTTGAGTGAAATGTCTTCCAAAAAACAAACAATCTGCAGAGCCCATCATCTGCGCGCGTCTGCGCGGCGCAGACAAAAGACGCCAGAAGGTCTTCTAGCAGAAAAACAAACACCCCCTAAGTAATTTGGAAATTAGAGATATAAAAAGAATAAATATACAGTTTAGGGTTTGGAAATTTTATCGAATGTAATTGGAATTGTAAAACTAAGATGTTGACCATGAAATAAATGTGTTATCTCATTTAATTAGAATTACTAATTATTTTTTAAGACTATTTTAATTTCAAATTAAATTTTTTTGTAAGAATGACTCTAACAAAAAAATTACAAGGCCTAAAAACAAACTCCGACTATTTTACAGGGATTAAGAGGATATTTAACCCTTTAATTAAATCATAACATGCACGGAATCCATTTCATTTTACTTACAACGTATAGAGCGTGGCAAGTTTGTCTAATGAGTCAGGAATCTTACCACTCAACCCGTTATTTTTGAGAGACCTTCAAAATTAATTCATTCAACCAAAATTTTAATAAATAAAAAAATCAAAAAGAAAGAAAGGAAAGATATTATAACAGTGAAGGTAGATAAAATACTAACTCATATGTGTTCATGTTTCATTTTTATGCATTAGATAAAATACTTTTATCTCAGCTAAAATGTCTAAAATACTTTCCAAAATAATTTCTATCTGCAATAAAGGAGAAATTGGGTGAGTTCTAGACACTATAAACATAGACAAAATTGTTTTTTTATGCACCAAAAATGGAATATGAATATCTTTTTTGAATTTGAACGGAATAGTTATATAACAATAAATACAGTATAACTAGTATCAACCATGTGCTTCGCACGGGCTCACATATATTCTAAATTTTGACATCTAAAAAATAAAATATTATTTATTTTAAATTCTTTAATAATGATACTGGTATATGATGTGTTTGATAAATAATTTCTAACTATAAAATATCTCCTTTGATAAAAAAGTATAAGTTTTAATATTGATGTGTATATATATTAAAATTTATATAAATCTTTATTTTGGGATGTAATAAAATGGAAAATAATGAATAATTAATTAAAAGCCACATCAAGCTTGCTTTTTTAAAAGAATAATAAAGTTTATAAAATCTTTTTTAGATTTATAACTAATTATGTATAGTGGCGGGACTTTTTTATTCCGTAAATAGTACTTGAATAATGTATAGTAGCAAGAATAATGTCCAGTAATGGTGAACATTTAGTTTGAATAATGTCCAGTGATGGTGGACATTTACTTGAACAATGATCAGTAGGCAATGATCAGTAGTACTACATTGAAAAATAGAAATATACGGTAGTACATTGGAAAGTCATTATATTTTAATACTATTTAGATAAATTCTCCTAAAATAAATAATATAATAAGACAAAAATTTGAAATATGTTATGAAGTTAACAAAGATGTATGTGTGATTTAATACAAATTGTTGGAAAGTTAAAGATTTATAAAATCTTATAAATATAATGATTTAATACAAATTGAATATGCATATGTGGAGTGACATGTGTCTTGTTATTCACACGTGACATGACACATATCAGTAATATGCATGTGTGGAATGACACGTGTCATCACCCCAACTAAATAACTCTATTATATATATATATATATATATATATATATATATATATAGGATATTATTAATTTGTTTGATTAGTTAAATGAAAAATGAGATTAAAGTAATTATTGGGGGCGCTTACAGAGCTTGAAGACGTGGAGCTTGGTCTAAAATACTATTAGGGATGGGACCGGTCAATTGATTATAGTCGAGAGACAAACGCAAAAGTGATGTAAAGTTGCCCACCTCCGGAGGAATTACACCACCTATGTTATTTCTTCGTAGATTTCTAGAAACCCATAAATGAGATTATTAATTATATTGGACTGGTAATTATAATCATTTCAGAGAATTTTATATATAAAAAAGTAATACTATTACTTCCTCTGTTCCATAAAACCCTTTCTCTTTCATTTTTTTCCAATTCCTTAAAACAGTGTTACTTTCTATTAAAAAAAATCACTTTTACAATACTTTTTCATACCCTACCTATCACATCATACTTTTTCACTAATGACCAAATTATCACATCTTACATTTTAACCATCACATCAGAGGCAAAATTGAAAAGTCAACCAAAATTACACTTTCTTTATTTTGGCCCAAAGTAAAAATAGGAATGATTTTAAGGAACAAAGGGAATATTTGTTTACATTTGACTTTTTCCGATCAAAGATAAACTTTGAGGATAAATTAAACAAAAAAGGATAAAACATATTGATACAGAAATGATTTTATAAGATTTAATTTATAAAATATTTTCAAAATATTATTTTATTTAATTAATACTCCCTCCGTTTCTCAAAACGGTTCCTGTTTTGACTTTGGGTCAAATTAAGGAAAGTGTAATTTTAGTTGACTTTCCAATTTTGCCCCTGATGTGATGGGTAAAAGTAAGATGTGATAGTTTAGTTATTAGTGAAAAAGTATGATGTGATAGGTAGGGTATGAAAAAATAGGGCTAAAAGTGGTTTTTTAATAGAAAAGGCAAATGTTTTAAGAAAAACAAAAAAAATGAAAGAGGAAGGGTTTTAAGAAACGGAGGGAGTATATAATTATATATATTTTGATTATAAGTCAAATGCTAAAAATTATTGAGAGCAAAAAAATCAAATCTGGACAAAGGAGGGAGATAGTAATAATAAAACTTACAAAGTTTTTAAATTTGGGAGCTTGGCAAGATGATGGAGGAGTTGAGGCAGTTGACCGGATAGGTTTGCATTTGTGATAATACTAGTAAATACATACATGTATGAGTCTAATGTGATCTGATGTGCCTCTAAAAAAATGTCACAGTTTGATTTTTTTGTCAAATTATGATTTTTTTGACCACGAATTAAATATAGCTTAAAATAATTAAATGTTATAAAAATATGATATCTTAAAACTATATTTTAAAATAAACCCAATTTTATTAAATTTATATTATTACTAAATACGTTTTTTTATAATTTGTGGTCAAAGAGTGTCACAAACTCATAATTTGACAAACAATCAAACTGTGACAATATTTTAGGGACGGATGAAGTACGTACTAAATACATCCATGGTTTTCAATATTAATCTAGACCAGCCGGGTTTACCATTAGTTAACAACTTACATATCGGTAACGCTGTCATACATAGGACCGCCAATGCCGTCTTTGAAGCTGCCGCATTGAATATAGTCCCAGGGCTGGTTGGCGCAGGGACTGGAGGGAGAAGTTGCATTGTTCCAGCTTTCGAGAACATTGTTTGGATCGTTCAAAATGTTTTTCACTGCCATCAAAGCATCACCTGTACGGAGGAGTACATGAACTTTTAAGACCAATAGCCCTAATTTGGTTTGGTAAGCGTGCGCCGTTATCCTATATGGTTTCAAGAGTTACGTCGTTGCCCCCTGGTTCTGATATTCCTACGCCATTCTTTTTTAGGCTAAAAGACCCTTTTAATCCTAACTGGTAATTAAAAAGCCACGCTTCTCACTATAGTTTTGGAAATGGACATTGATGACCCTTCTCTTTTTTTTCTTTTTTGTTTTTCATTTTTCTTCTCTTTTTTTGTAAATATTTTTTAAGTTCTTTTTTAAAACTATTATTTCATATGTCTCAAATCAAACATTTTCATTTTTTGTCCAAAAACTTCTTATTGGTCCATTTTCATTAGACAAAAATCTACGAAACATTTTTGTTTTTTGCACTGAAGCTCATTTCCCATTTTAATTTTGCCCATTTTCTTATTTCTTTCTTTTTTATTATTTGTTTCTCTTTTTTGAACTAATTTTATAGAAAATGCAATATTAAGTCATTAAAGAAATTTGTCAGGCACCGATCTAAAAAAAATATTATGAATATATAATTTACTAAATATTAAAGAGACTTTACTCTGAAGTCTTTTGGTCCCAAAAAATTTAAAAAGAAGAATTTTTTTGAAAAAAAATAACAATATTCAATTTGAGATAAATGAAGTACTCCCTCCGTTCCACAAAACCATTTCCATTTTGACTTTTAGCAAAAATAAGGAAAGTATAATTTTGATTGACTTTCCAATTTTGACCCTGATGTGATGGGAAAAAGTAAGATGTGATAGTTTGGTTATTAGTGAAAAAGTATGATGTGATAGGTAGGGTATGAAAATGTAGGGGTAAAAGTGGTTTTTTAATAGAAAATGGAAGTGTTTTATTTGAGAAAAGCAAAAAAAAGTTTTTTTTGTGGAACGGTGAGAGTATATGTTAATTTTCTTATTTCATTTTTTATCTTAACAAAAAAAGCTTTTATTTTTAAACATTTAAAAAAATCACTTTGGAGAAATAACTTACCCATATATATTCATTAAAAAGAGAATAAAAAAGAACAACAGCAAAAAAAAGAGAGGGCGTTCATGCCCATTTCACAAACCATATAGTGGGCACTGAAGCTATTCGCCCAATATTTGACTAGTATTTTAGTCTAGAAAGAGAAATAGCGTAAGCTTTAAAACTATGGAGAGTAATAGTATACATTTATTAAACTACAAGGGTATTGATGAAAAAACTCAAATTCTTAAACTAATGCAAATTAGAGCTTGTTAACTTATTCTTATTACTAACTAGAATCAGACCTGATCCAATCAAATACAACTAACTTTAAATACAACTATAATTAGATCAGGCCAGACCAGATTAGAAATTAGAGCTTGTTCTCTTCAATTTTTTCTTATTAATTACGGAGTACTTATTAATTATTCGTATTGGAATCAGATCAGGCAAGATCATAAATGATTTTAAATAATACTACAATCAATGAAATTATAACTTAATCCAATCCCTTGATATAGATACGGAGTATATTTATATTAACAAACCTTCATCGTTGCCGACGGAAAGTGATGACAGCAGAAGAAGTGACGATGACAACAGCAAAAACATTCGCATAACGACCGAAACTGCAGCAGACGACATTATCGTCGGAAATATACTGCTACTACAGTACTCAGTACAAGTTTATATTTTTTTCCCTGAAGATTACTCTTCAATAATTACCCCGGCCCCTCGTTTTACCTTCTTCCCTTCGTCCATCCTCATCTTCACTATAGATATATACAGGGAAACAACTAGATGGGCCCCATGATGAAAGAATATATAGAATACTTGCAGGGTAATAATAAACAAAATTGACTTTGCCATGCCTTTTTTTTCTTCTTCTTCTTAATCAACCTTTCTCACTACCGCCTTTCCCCCATTTTATTCAAGTTTTGTCCCAATTTACAGCGTTAGAGGTGGGGATCCTCATCATCCCATCCTCATTCCTTTTCTGACTTTTGTTTTGAAATATTACTTTTAAAGTTTTATTCGAGATCGTAATATTTACCTGTGAAATGTATATAAGTCTTTTACACATTTGATAGATTAACAAGTGGCTCTTTCCCTTTTTTTTACAAAAGGCATAATCATTTTATGATATCAATGTATTCAAATTGTCTCAGAGTTTAAATATCTAAATTGTGTTTTTCAACCAACGAAGATTGAAGTTATTCCTCACATTCGTATACCATCCTCAATAATGTTGCTTCGTAGCGTTACCATTTCTACGACTAAAACTCCAATTTTTATATGGAGTATCAATTAGTAAATAAACAAATTTTAAAAATATGATACGGTATTTTATTCGGAGTACGTAATTCCAAATATAATGTGTAATTTTTTTAAGGACGAAGCAGTATATTAGTGACGGTATTTTTAATCATAAAAAATATGATTTTTCATCATAAAAAGAGCATTTTGATGAAAGTAAAAATACTCTCATTAAATAATATTAATGAGACGACTTGTAATTTGTCATTATATGTAATTAACTACACAGTCTATGGTGACGTTTGATGAAAGTAAATTTCTTCTCATTAAACCCATCCATAGTACTTCTTTCGTCTTAATTTTCAATAAAGTAAAATACACCCTGAACAAAATATTACTCCCTCCGTCCTATAATGATCTTCCCAGAGCACTATTCCAACTTCACGGGAATTTATATTTATTTGTGTTTTTTCATGGCCTATATGATAAAATAAAATATTCTTGTCACCACTTGTTTTGTTGAACTTTTGATGTAGTTTTTAAATATGTATGTTTTATTTTTTATTTCTATACCAATATTTAAATAAAATAGATTGAAAAAACTTGGGATTTTTCTTCGTTTTGCGAACCGGGAAGATCATTATAGGACGGAGGGAGTAACTCCGAAGTCCGAACGACAAATTTGGACACCCACATAATGTGGTCAAAGACATACAAAGAAATGTTCATAGAATAATACACACTGTGGAAACGAAAAAGAGTGAAAATACAAGCAAGTACTCCCTATATATATTGGCAACAATTTCTCACACATGACACTTATTAATTATAGTTTTGTCGACACACGTACTGAAGTCCCCAAAACAAAACACACTTAATTAAAAGGAAGCTAAGCTTGCATGACAAAACAGACGACGATGATGATCGAAGACGAACACACGATCACATGCATACGTTCTCACGTATAAATGTCGTTGTTCACCATCGAGAACTAACCACAACGTGCTGGGTTGTTGTTATCCGCGACAACTCTGAAAAAAGAGAAAAAAACAACAGAGTAAGAAATCGAAAGAAGATCTTTATAGAAAATACAATAGATTCAATTCAATTTAATTGATTAATTTGTTATTTTTTGTAATTGTTGTGTCATTTAGGACTTTGGAGTAACAGATTGTAGGGCTAGCATATATACTTTAAAAGGTACATACATCAATAAAATGAATAAGCAAAGATTGAAAAATAACAACACAAATTGGAGAGAGCATACCTTGGATCGGAGAATGGATTGTCTGTCAGATCTAAACAGTTGCTTGACAAATCTCTGAGACATAAGAATAAATATGGAGTATATATTACTAGAGTAATAGTTATAGAATATAATGTACTCGTTTATCTCTGAGACATAAGAATAAATATGGAGTATATATTACTAGAGTAATAGTTATAGAATTTATATAATCATTAGTTATTTGCTAAGATAATTTTAAAGATTGCCAAAATTTTCCTTTAAAAGATTGGTTGTCAAAATTTACTCTTTTAACTTTCTTGACAATGCGGAATGAATTCAATCAAACTCCAACCATTTTTAAAAGTCGTCGTTCAATTAATGATTTAACCAAACGAAAAAAAAGGATGAAGCCCATCGGCCCTCAGATCTGATCGAACGGTCACTGAGACGAAGTAAATTAGACATTGATCGCAAATAAGTGGAAAGAGTGAAGCTCTGCATCTGGTACTTACAGAGGCCCTATGTTTAACATAGTTACTTTCCAGCGTACTTGTCAAGAATCGAACTCATGTCTTACCTCTTTAGCAGTTCTTATTTTTGCTAACAATGCAAGGTCGACCCCACATTTAACCAGGCCCGCCCATATGCAAGTTCATGAGGTTCTTTTGCACAGGGCCTCAAAATTTGGAGGGCCCATTTTTATACTTACCCATTAATTACAGTCCAATCCGGCCCTTATTCATTTACTCCATATTGTCCTCGACCGTCCATATTCTATCCAAGAAGCCATGAACAGTAATTTACTTACTACGTACGGAGTATTTGATTTAATTTTTTTCATTCCCAGCTCAGCTCTTCAGTTGGACTCTTGGACTATTATTCTTTCTTTAATTCTTGCCTTCTCCCATTCTTCCTCTTTTATTATACTTCCTCCCTACTTCATTACTTTGTTCCTTTGCCTTTAATCTATCAATTCATAGATAACTTTTTTTTATAAGTTTATGATCATTAATTCTATTTTGGATTTCTCTTTCAAAACTTTTCAATTTCATATTTTAATGCCCAAAAGAGAATTCAAATAGTGTGTGGGAAGAAAGTTTTAGAATTAAGGATATGGTTTTAATTTAAAAATTTTTGGACCAAAATTATTTAATTGCACAGGGTCTTCCAATATGATTGGGCGGGCCTGCATTTAACCAAATAAAAAAATTTTGAAAAGCTCGTGCGTACACATAAGAAATGCTGGCCAAAGCCCTAGGGATGCGACCCGTGAGGTAGTTGCGGCTCAGATCCCTGAAAAGCATTATACCATTGTATCAATTGAAGTAATTATGATGTACGTCCCAATTTATTTGCAACACTTCGAACGATGTGCAAAATATCATCTCTTTTAAAATTACTTTAATTTTAAATTGGTAGAGTAATAAAAAGTAAAAATTACACCATTCAAAAGTATATGAAAAGTTCTACAAAACAAGATGCGACAAGAATATTTTATTTTATCAAATGGTCAACCAAAACGAGTAAACAAACAAAAGTTATCGAGAAGCCAGAATAGTAACTGTGGCATTCTTTCTGGGACGGAGGGAGTAATAGAAAATTCAATGTCATTAAATAATTAAATAATGAGGGGAGATAATGAATGTTTGTGAACTATGAAATTCTTTCTTTGAAATAAGAAGATTAGTTAGTGACATCCAAAAAATTAAAGAAAGTGAAAAGATAAAAAAAGAGATAGAATACGATATTAATAGAGTAATATTAAATTTAATAAATAAATTATATAAAGTAGGTAACACATGTTGTTTTGATCTTGTTTGAGAAGAGCATTTTCTGTAAGCATTGTATCAATTGATGTGGTGTAAGCATTTTCTGTAAGCATTGTATCATTGTATCAATTTATGAACGGAAAACAGTAGGTATCCCAGGCCAATTGGTACGATGTCCTCCATTTTTTTTTAAATCTATCTATTTCAACTAACTTAACGAATTGAAAAAAAAGCACTGCGTATATCAGAAAGACGCATGCGTACAGAGTTTTAATGCTACCCAATTCGGGAGGAATGGGACCCGTGAGTTTGTTATTGCTGAAATTCCTGAAAACAACGTGCAATGCAATGCATTAATAATAATTAATAAATTATTCATTTAACCAACAAATGAAAAAAAACACACAATTAGAGAGGAAGCTAAGATTATGCATATGTGTGCGTACACAGTGCTAAGACTAGTCATGAGTGTGAAATCCATAAGAAGTGAACCGCTGAATTGGTTATTGCTGAGATCCCTGTATGTAAAGGTATTTATATCATATACACACACACACAATATTAGAAAAACTAACATGTCATGCATGCATGTTCATCTTTGAACGAAAGACATAAATTATGCACGTCGCGCGTTTTACTTACAGAATTTGGAGCGCAGTAAGGCTTTGTATTGTAACGAAAATAGAATCACTCAAGAGGTTGTTGTTGAGCCTCCTTCAAAATTTCAACAAAGTTTTACTCATGAAAATAAAAATCAAAATGATAGAAAGGAAAGGGATTATAAAAATCGGTGCATTTACATACATGAAAACAAGCTTTGTGAACTGGTGCAAAGCAGGCAGCATGCCGGTCAATTTGTTATTGTAGAGATCCAAAGAAACCAGGTTTGTTAAGTTGCCAAGCTCTAGAGGAATTTCACCACTTATGTCATTCTCATATAATGCTCTGAAAAGCAAACCATGGATATATATAACATGGGTGCAGTGGCCCGGAGGGTGTGCAAAGTGGCTAACCGCACACGGCTTCTAAATTTTTAAGGCCTCATATTTTTAAATTCATCATTAATTTTGAAGCATAAGTATTCTAAAATAATAAAACAGGGTCCATAATGTAAATTTCGGACCAGACCAATTTTATTTCTTCTTTTTTCGAGGTCGGCGCTGGACAGATATTACAAAGTGTAAGTTGAATTTCATGTCTAAGATAAAGAATAAAAAAGAAGAAAATAACTTACAAGTACTGTAAATCGTTGAGCTTTGCAAGATCAGGGACCAATCGACCCGATAAATGTGAACTTCCAAGATCACTGAGAGAGAATGTATAATAAACTAACACGAAAATCTGATCTGATCTCTAATAAAGTAATAAGAATTCTTTTACTTGGGACTTGGGAGGTATCTTACATTTGAATCTAGCTTGTAATAAAAATATATTCCATCTTTAAAAAAAATGTCACAAAGGAGTACTCCATGTCAGAATCTTAAAATCTGGCCGGTGAGGGTAAATGTGGGATTCCATTTGACTTCTTGGGGTCTATTTGGTACGCGAAATTAGAATTGGATTGAGAGTTGAAGTTCTATAGAATTAATTTGATGGATATGTGCATTCACCGGACAAGCTTTCAAATTTCCGAGGAAGCGTAATTTTCTAAAATCATACTATATTTTATATTCCATTTTTACACATGAAGAAAGATGATAATAATAAAATCAAAGTATTAGATTCAAATAAAAGAAAAAAAAATTGGAAAAGGCTGCAGGGTCTAATTAAAGAACAGCTTACATACATACATTCTGGTAACATTACCGATATCTACTTGGGTGCACGTAACGTGGAACCAGGTGCAGGGGTACTTAAGAGATGGATCCCAGCTCTGTAGATAACCGTCCGGATCGGTCAAATTGTTTTTCAGTGCCGCCAAAGCATCAACTGCATGCACGTACGTCGTCATAACCCAAATCCTTCATTTTTGCTACTATATTTTTTGAAGGCTTTAACATGCAAATACTTATACTTATATTCTGTGTATCCAAGCATGCATGTTAATTAGAGTATGGTTTTTGTCTCGTTAAATAAGGGATTTTTGTTTTTAGTCATTAGTCCTATTTAGTGCAAATTTTACAAACGAGTAATTTACCTATATAGGACTAAAACATAATGACTTTTCTCTATATTTTTTTATTTTCCAATGTAGGACCATTGGTCATTATTCCTTAGTCATTATTCAAGTAAATGTTCATCATCACTAGACATTATTAAGTCTTATTTGAAAAATAAAAAAGTTTAAGTCCTACGTTAGGAAATGACTTACTCCCTCCGTTTGGAAAAACCCTTCCCATTTGATTTGGGGGCAAAAATAAGGAAGTGTTAAATTATAGTTGATTTCCAATTTCGCCCCTAATGTGATGGGTAAAAGTAAGATGTGATGGATAGATTATTAGAGAAAAAGTATGATGTGATATGTAGGGTATGAAAAAGTAAGGGTAAAAGTGGTTTTTTAATAGAAAGGGGAAGTGTTTTGTTGGAAGTGAAAAAAATGAAAGAGGAAGTGTTTTTGAGAACGGAGGGAGTATGTTTTAGTCCTATTTAGTGCAAATTTTACAAACTAATTATCAAAACGGCACTCATTAATTGAGAATAATACTCAGTTTAGTCCCACAATTAACGGTCCTCAAAAGTTCGGTAACATTCCGGTTACATTCTGGTAACATTCCGATTGTTTCCGTTTGCTATTTTTTAGTTCCTTTTTGAAATCTTTATTTATTATTTATTCCTTTTCCATCTTTTCTCATTTCTTACTTTTTGTCTTTAGTTTTTTTTCTTTTCTGTTTTTCTTTCTTTTTTCCTTTATTTATCTATTTCGTAATTGTTTTCGTTATCTTTTTTGTTAATAATTGTGTTATTTTATATTTAATCAATTTAATTAAACAAAAAAGTCGAACCATAGGTCTTAGTTCTTTTGTTTTTTTATTTGAATTTTTTTTGTTTGTTAACCTTTTTTTGTCTATTTTTTGTATTTATTGTAAAAATGTAAATAAAAAAAATTAATAAAATAAGCCCTAAATTAATACATACAAAAAACAAAAAAAATAAGACAAACAAAAATTCAAAAAATAAGACATATGGTACCATTTTTCGTTTAATTTAAATTTCAAATAAAGTAAAACTAGTTAATAATATAAAACAAACCAAAATAAGAATAAGTTAACATAAAAAGAGACAAACAAAAAACATAATAAATATCATTTTTGAATTAAAATGACATATAAAATAAAACCCTTAATTAATAAATTAAAATAATTTAACTAAAGATAAGTGACACATAAAAGAGAACAACCCAAAAATTGGATCTAAATTTCAAAAAACTTTTACTTCATTCTTATGAAAAAATAAATATATAAAAATAACCAACAAATATAATTGAAAGGAAACAAGATATATAAGACAAAATAATATAAAAAATAAAAAAGAAAAGGAAACAAAAAAAGATGGTTATTTACATAAAATATAAAAAACACTTACAAAAAATTCACAAAATAACACATAGCAAAACAAATTGATTATATTAATATTTGAAGAAAAAAAGATAAAAAAAACAAAGAAAAAAGATCAAAAATAAAAAACAAACAAATAAGATCGGGAAAATATGAAACAAATAATGGTACTATATGTCTTATTTTTTATTTGTTTTTTAAAATTTCTATTGTCTTATATTTTCATTTTTTTCTCATTATTTATTTATTTATTTAGGGCTTATTTTATTCACTTATTGTGTCTAATTTTTTACAATAAAGATTAGTAAACGGACAAGAAAAAGTTAACAAACACAAAGAAACTTAAATAAAACAAACAAAAAAATTAAGACATATTTTTATATTTTTTTACTTAATTAAATTGATTAAATATATAATAACACAGTTGTTAGTAGAAAAGATAAAAGATAAAGGGGAAAATAATAAAACCAATAAATAAAGGAAAAAAGAAAGAAAAAAAGGAGAAAACAAAACAAAGAAAAAAATACTCGTAAGAAATGAGAAAAGGCGGAAATTAAATGGAATAAATAATAAATATATATTTCAAAAAGGAACTAAAGAAAAAATAACAAACTAAAACGAATAGAGAAAAATAAAACAGTGAAAAAAAATAAAAAAGGAAAAAATAAAAAAGAGGACATAATGTATAAAATTAAACTAAAAAGGAAAGAAATGATAAAAAGTGAAAATGAGTAAAAAAAAAATAAATAAAGAGTTAAAAAGGATCAAAAGAAAAAAAGAAGCAAAAGAAAAGAGGGAAAAATAGCGAATATGAAAAAAGAAAAGAAAGACAAAACAAAAAAAAGAAAAGAAGGGAAAAGGAAAGGTGAGATTGGTGAGAAAGAAAGGGAAGTGGGTTGAAAAAATAGAATATAAATTATGGGAGTGTAAGGAGAAGAAAAAGAAGAAATGCAGTCAATGTGAAAAAATAAAAATTCAGATTTTGCAATTTGGCCCAAAGTGACCTGTTGGTCACCTTGTAATGGGCAAATGGAGTTTTAGTGAAAAATGGTAAGAGGGTTTTGATATTCAAATATCAAATCAAAATTTTCGTGAAAGTTTAGGAACTATTCTTGAAATTTACCTCATAAAGGTCATCTCTAATTAGAAGTTTTTTTCAAATTAGTTTAGATTTGAAATAAAAAGTCATAAAAAGTGATCTCCCAACTTCACCTAAACATCGTAAACCAATTAAAAGATACTCGATTTTTTCATATTTAGTTTAATGAATTTTTACTTTAGAAATTGATCAATTTGCATTGAGAAAACATTCAATAAAAAAAGATAATTTTTTTAAAAATAGTATAATGTTTAACGTCGTTCTTACACTGTTTTGATGACCATTAGTCGTAGTGACTAAGTTAAGCATTTATTTTCAACTATCGAGTATCATCTCGGTAATTAATTTATCTTGGAGACTGATTTGAGAAAATATGTTGTTATTGAGTAGCATTTAGAAAATTTACTCTTAAAAATGTTTTTTGATTGTACTATTCTTGTGAAATACTCCCTCCGTCCTAAAACTTTCTTCCCAGAGCACTATTCCAACTTCACAGGAATTTATATTTATTTGTGTTTTTTCATGGCATATATGATATAATAAAATATTCTTGTCACCACTTGTTTTGTTGAACTTTTGATGTAGTTTTTAAATATGTATGTTTTATTTTTTATTTCTATATCAATATTTAAATAAAATAGATTGAAAAAACTTGGGATTTTTCTTCGTTTTGCGCAACGGGAAGAAAGATATAGGACGGAGGCGGTATTTTTGAAACGTGAAGGACTTTTTAGGACAGAGAGAGTATTTTACTTCCTCCGTCCCACAAAACATATCTTATTTTGATTTTTAAGAGATTTAAGAATAAAGTATTTTGGTGTTAACTTTCTAAAAATGCTCTTGGATGTAATAGATTAGAGTAGATGTGATAGGTAGATTAGTAGTGAAAAAGCGTGATGTGATAGGTAGGTTAAGAATTAGTAGGGTAAAAATGACTTTTTAATAAAAATGAAAAATGTTTTTTAGGACAGATGAAAACAAGAAAGGAGAAAGATTTTGTGGGACGGAGTATTTTTTACTTAATCAAATTTCAAAATTCATCCAATTTGACTCGAAAAAATTAAACTGGATGAATAATATGAGAGAGTGGTAGTATGTTAATTGCTACTATAGTCTATACTGCAACTAAATGCTTTTTTAAAAAAATACAGTAAATTATTTAATTGAAGACGAACCTTCTGGGTTACCAGACCCGGACGACAGCTGAAGAAATAAAGGTGACAACAAGAACAAGGATATGAACAGTGAAGTTGCGGCGGCGGCGGAAGAGCGGTGGTTGGGGAGGTTTGATACCCGCAGTGCCGCTGGGGACATTATTAATATTGCCTTGTCGCCCAACAACTTCTTCATCTTCATAACCACAACAATACTCATTGAAAACGGATCGGAGTAGTGGGAGTACTAGCTGCAGAGTTTGTATACATATACTCCGTATATATATAAACATATTCTTCCTCCTTCACTCAAAACCTTTCGTTTTCTTTTTTCATCTCTTCCAAGAAATTTTCTTATTTCTATTAAAAAATTACTTTTATCCCTATTAAATCTTAACATATCTATAACATCATATCTATTCACTTACTCATCAAATCCTACTTTTACTCATCACATCGAAAGATATTTTTTCGAAATTTAACACCAAAATACGCTCTCTTAAATTTTTAAAAATAAAACATCTCATGTTTTTAAAGATGGAGGGAGTATATGGTAGTCGCTCTACTCGGGGCTTGTTCAGCTAATTGAAATAATTTTAATTTTTACTTAAGTTTTAGTGCTATTTGATGCAAATATTTATTTACAATTAAGTGTTTCTATGAATTATTGAATTTGTTACAAATCTGAATCTAAGATTATAAGATTTATAAACGTAAAATTTCAATGAAATCTAAATTGGGTAATTTACCTAAATAGGACTAAAACATAATAACTTTCTCAACATAGGATCACATGTTTTTATTTCCCGATGTAGGACCATTGGTCATTATTCAACTAAATGTCCAGCATTACTTGGACACTATTTTTCTCACTAGTCATTATTAAGTCTTATTTAGAGAATAAAAAAGTTTAAATCCTACATTGGAAAATGACTTATGTTTTAGTTTTATTTAGTGCAAATTTTACCTCTAAATTTTAAATCTAAAAACAAGTTTCCAAAAGAATGTACTTCTACGTAAGCAAGGACGCATGCGGTGGGAATGGAATTATTAAGAAAGAAAATACGGAGTATGGTAGAAAATAGCTAGTCTAGTGATTTGAAAACAAAGAAAAAGGAATGGATGGGATTTCAAAAAAAAAGGAAGGAAAGAAAACTCTCCCTTTCATTTCAATGCGCTGAAGAAAGGGAAATAGTCAATTAAGGCCATGTTATGTTCACATCTGATTGATTTTGATTTGATTGGAATTAATTTTGATTTGATCTGATCTGGTGTGATATGGTCTGCCTTAAAAAAATTTTATTTTTATTAAAAAATCACTTTTACCTTTACTAATTCTTAACATACCTATCACATCATATTTATTCACTATTAACTTACCCATCAAATCTTATTTTTACCTATTACATCCAAGGATATTTTGGAAATTTAACACCAAAATACACTCTCTTAATTTTTTTTAAAATAAAGCCTTTGATGTTTTTAAAGATGGAGGGAGTATATAGTAGTCGCTCTACTCGGGGCTTGTTCATCTAATTGAAATAATTTTTTACCTAAGTTATAGTGATACTTAGTGCAAATATTTATTTACAATTAAGTGCTACTATGAATTATATGAATTTGATACAAATCTAAATCTAAGATTATAGGATTTATAAACATAAAATTTCAATGAAATCTAAATTTGAAATCTAAAAACAAGTTTCACAAAGAAGAAAAGAATCTACTTCTATGTAAGCAAGGACGGAGTATGGTATAAAATAGCAAGTCTAGTGATTTGAAAACAAAGAAAAAGGAAGGAAAATGCTTGGTTCACAAACACAATGATCACAAACTTCACAAACTTGCTATTTGTGAATTGAATTTCAACAAAAAAAATTAAATAGTCTAAAATAATTTTAAAATGAGAATTTAAACCATAAATAGTAAGTTTGTGAAGTTTGTGAATATTATGTTTTTGTTAACCTAGCATTGCTAAAAAAGGAATGGATTTCAAAAAAAAAGAAGGAAAGAAAACTCTCCATTTCATTACAATGCGCAGAAGAAGGGGAAATAATCAATTAAGGCCATGTTCTTTTCATCTGATCGGGTTGATTTTGATCTCATTGAAATAAGTTTGGATCTGATCTGAATGTAGTCATTTTTAAAGCTATTTCAGATATGATCCAATCTGATTTGATTCCAATAAAAATAAGTAATAATAAAAAAATAAGTCGAAAAGAACATGACCTAAGTTACTCCAGAGTAATTAACTATCCATCAAGTAAGGGCAAATTTTTATTATAGAAATCACTCTAAATAGCACTAAAACATAAAAAAAATACTGAAATAGGACTTTCATTTTTTTCTCCGAAATATGACATCACCCTGTTGGAATGCGGTTGTAATGTAGCACTGTGCATGTGCACATGACTATACTTTTAGGTAATGTACATGACCACGTTTGATAATGCAAATGCATTTTAAGTTCTATTTCGGAAATAAAAACATGTAAGTTCTATTATATTTTCAATGTTTTAGTCCTATTTTGATCTTTCTCCCAATTCTTTATCAGTGAGCATAGAATATAAATATGAATAAAATTAATTATGAATAATGTATTTATAACTCGTGTTTACATTTTCAATTTCATCGAACACGTACCAGCATCCCTTTTTGTTTTTAGGGTACCAACTAATTAAGATCCCTAAGTATTTTATATATTTGGGATTTTGTGATAATAATAATAATAATAATAATAATAATAATAATTTCATAATGGAATATTATCGAAAACAAGAGTAGTCTTAATTAAGCTTCAGGAGCCACGCCAGAAGAGAGACGCAAAAGGCAAAGAATACGCTAATCATCATGGGGAGCACACTAAACCTGGATTATACAGAAAACTAAACCAACCAAAAAATAAAAGTGTAATTAGCTGCTGATGACAATTATTAAGAATATCTAGGAATCTAACTTTAGTTACATTTGACAATACCGCTTCTAATAATAAATTACACATTTGGAATAACTGCAATCTTTGTTGTTCAAAAAACACATTTTATATATTTAAAATCTCTATCAAAAGTTCTACAAATTAGATATGACTAGAATAGTTTATCTTTATCAAATTACACATGCAAATGTGTTTGTGTAACCATAATGCTAATAGGGAAATCGATATAAGGACATAAGAGGTACTCCGTAATAAATTAAATGTGTAAATTCTTTGAATGCCAAAATGGAAATATATGATTCATCCTTTCATTTCATAAAAATCTTTCGCGCTTCACTTTCATCACAACGTTTTGAAAATTTTAAATACTTCAAAGTAAAAATATACTCCCTCCGTCCTAAAACTTTCTTCTCACTTCCCCTTTTTTCCCGTCCTAAAACTACCTTCCCTTTAGAAAAAAAGATGACAAATGTCATTAATACCCTCATATATTTACACCAATTATCTTCTAACTCTATATTTTGAATGATTGTAAAAAAAAATTCAAAAAATCTTTTTTAAAGAGGGTAAAATTTGAAGTCAAAGCCAAAAATTAAAAATGGGGAAAAGTCAAACTGAGGAGAAAGAATTAGGACGGAGGGAGTATGATTGAAATTTGTCGAAAAGCGAGATTTTTTAACTACTTTTTTAAAAGGGGACGTGTTTTTCAAATAAGCAAAAAAAAAGTGAAAATTTCTCTGAAACCACTTATAAGTTTACGCTATGATATACAATGATAGAAATTATTTTCTATTTGGTTTAATCAAGAATTGGTATAAAATTCAAAAGTAAATTTTGAACAAATTAAAAAGAATTAATTCATTAAATGAAGCATGAAAATGTATAAAGAGAAAATAAACAATATTTAACCCCTACCTAATTAATACTCTCTTCGTACCTAAATCATTTACCATTTACGCAAAACGAAGTGAAATCTCACTATTTCCAATTTATTTTATTTAATGATTAGTATTAATATAAAAAATAAAACTTACATATTTAAAAGTAAATCAAAATTTCTACAAAACAAGAGGTGACAAAAAAATTATTTCATCAAATAATCAATGAAACCGCACAAATAAACAAAAATTCCTGTGATTTTTGAATAGTAAAATGTGTAAAGAATTTATGGAGAGAGGGAGTAATAAACATAAGTGTGTGAACGAACGCACCTTCCACAAGTGATATTTAAAAATGCACCATGATCCAATTTAATTGTTCCACTGAGATCGTTGTTCGTCAAATCCCTGCATTAATGAGTGCCACAAGTTTAATTAATAATGAATATTCCATTAAACAAATTTACTTCTACATCAAAGAAAAATTGAAATACCACACACAAGTTAATTATAATTTAGAATATGATAGATGCATAAAAATATTAAAGAAGAACCAATAAAAAATATACACCAATATACTCCTTCCGTTCTAAAAAACACTTCCTCTTTCATTTTTTTTACTTCCAAAAAAAATTTCACTTTCTATTAAAAAATCACTTTTACTCTTACTTTTTCATACCCTACCTATCACATCATACTTTTTGTCTAATAATCTATCCATCACATCTTATTTTTACCCATCACATCAAGAGCAAAATTAGAAGTCAACTACTACCTCTGTTTCTCAAAAGAGTTCCTCTTTTGACTTTGGAGGGAAATAAGGAAGTGTTAAATTGTAGTTGACTTTCCAATTTTGCCCTTGATGTGATGGGTAAAAGTAAGATGTGATAATTTAGTTGTTAGTGAAAAAGTATGATGTGATAGGTAGGGTATGAAAAAGTAGGGATAAAAGTGGTTTTTTTAATAGAAAGGGGAAGTGTTTTAAGAAAAACAAAAAAAATGAAAGAGGAAGAGTTTTAAGAAACGGATGGAGTATAATTTAATACTTCCTTATTTTTACACTTGGTCAAAATAAGAACTCTTTTTTAAGAAGAAAGGAGTACTATAAAACAAGAAATAATTACAGCAAGTTGATGGAATCGAGATTCGCAAATGATGCTGGAACAGGTCCTGTCAATCTGTTGAGGTTGAGGCTCCTTCAAACAAACACAAATGTCAATAATTAGGTACCAAAAAATTATACAAAAGAGCTTGTATAATTAATGGTAGAAAATACTAATTAAATAATTAATATATATCAAATTAAAATGAAAAAAAAGACATGCTATAGTACTACATTCTGGTCAAAGTTTTGAGATTTCCGAGCTCGGTTGGGATGGGACCGTCCAAGTTGTTCATGTACAAATCTAAAATGACCAAATTGGGCAAATTGCCAAGCTCTGCTGGAATACTCCCGCTTAATTTATTCTCAGATAACCGCCTAATTAATCCCAAAAAAAAAACACATACAAAAAAAAATAATTATATTAGAAGAGTGAATCGAGATTAATTAATCATATATTT